GGTGAGACGCGGCGGCTGCCGAAGCCTGTCGCGCGCGGATTGGGGAGTGGGGGCGCCGTAGGGTCGGGCTGGCGCCACCCTCGGGTACGTGGTCTGGGGGGAAAAAATTGAAAGAATTTTACAGAAGCCGCCTGGGGATAAAATCCCCGGCTTCTCTGGCCTTCGCTTTCTTTTCATTCATTTTGTTTATTCATTCATTACCTGTGCACTGAGTGGCTGCTGTGTGTTGGGCCCCGTCCTAGGCAGTGAGGACAAGGAGGCTACAGGGTACAAATAATTGAGTGAACGATGTCGCTCTAGATACGGGTGATGGTGTGCAAATAATAAAAGAGTGATGGGACGGGAGAGCAGGGCTGCTGTTTACCTGGAAGTGGCCTTGAAGAGTATCTCTTGAGTGCTGGGAAGGATGAGAAAGGCGGGGAAGAGCAGCTGGGAAGGCTTAGATAGAGAAAGTGCCCATAAGGACGCTGGGTTTTGTTCTGAGAGGGTTGGGAAGCCACTACTGGGCTTTGAGCGGGTGAGTGAGGTGGAGTCTAGGCTCTGGGAGTGGCAGGTGAGGCCGCCCTTATGGGAGGCTGGTGTTTGAACCAGAGTGGGTGTGGCTGGTAGAGGGAGATGTGGATGGAGTCTTTTAGGGTCCCCAGCATGTTATGGCACACTTTTCTAATTTTCTTTTGAGACGAAGTCTCTCTCTGTCGCCCAGGCTAGAGTGCAGTGGCATGATCTCGACTCACTGCAACCTCCATCTCTCGGGTTCAAGGCATTCCCCTGCCTCAGCCACCGGAGTAGCTGGGACTACAGGTGCGCAACACTGCACCCGGCTAAATTTTGTAATTTTTAGTAGAGACGGGGTTTCTCCCCGTTGCCCAGGCAGGTCTCAAACTCCTGGCCTCAAGTGATCTGCCCGCATTGGCCCCCCAAAGTGCTGGGATTACAGGCATGAGCCACCGCGCCCGGCCCCCCCTTATTTTTTCTTTTGAGACAGAGTCTTGCTGTTGCCCAGGCTGGAGTGCTGTGGCGAGATCTGTGCTCACCGCAACCTCCACTCCCCAGGTTCAAGCGATTCTCCTACCTCAGCCTACTGAGTAGCTGGGATTACAGATGTGCACTATCTTGCCTGGCTAATTTTTTGTATTTTCAGCAGAGACAGGATTTCGCTATGTTGGCCAGGCTGGTCTCAAATTCCTGACCTCAAGTGATCTACCTGCCACAGCCTCCCAAAGCGCTGGGATTATAAGCGTGAGCCACCACGCCTGGCCAGCACAGTTTTCTTGAGCAGAATCCTGGCTGAGAGAAGGAAACGGGCTGCCAGTTAGGGGCCTTACTCACCTTCTGTTTTACCCTCAGCATGCCTGATGGATCACAGGGACTGGTACTGCTGTTTCCCCCCTTTCAGCCTAGGCTGTTCTCCAGGTAATTCTTACTTGGCCATCCCTAGGCACCATTTTATGTGTTTCAAATCTGTACTTTCCTCCCCCAACCCAGCCCTGTGCCAGATCTAGGGGACCTTGGAGGACTCAGGTCAGGGGTGGTCACAGAGCCAGACCTCCCCAACTCACCTCAGGAGTGGGTGGAAGGGAGGGGTTGTGGGTTGGGGAGAGGAGGCCAGAGAGCACGGGCTCTGAGTAGCCAGGAAAGGCAGCCACTTGGAAGGGCTGACAGAAGCTCCGCAGAGGACTGAGAATCCGAAGTATATGAGACAGGTGTCAATCAATTTAGAAAGTTTATTTTGCCGCCGGGCGCGGTGGCTCAAGCCTGTAATCCCAGCACTTTGGGAGGCCGAGACGGGCGGATCACGAGGTCAGGAGATCGAGACCACCCTGGCTAACACGGTGAAACCCCGTCTCTACTAAAAAATACAAAAAACTAGCCAGGCGAGGTGGCGGGCGCCTGTAGTCCCAGCTACTTGTGAGGCTGAGGTGGGAGAATGGCGTAAACCCGGGAGGCGGAGCTTGCAGTGAGCTGAGATCCGGTGACTGCACTCCAGCCTGGGGGACAGAGCGAAACTCCGTCTCAAAAAAAAAAAAAAAAAGAAAGTTTATTTTGCCAAGGTTAAGGACATGTCCATGACACAGCCTCAGGAGGTCCTGACAACATGTGCCCAAGGTGGTTGGGGCACAGCTTGCTTTTATACATTTCAGGGAGACATGAGACATAAATGAGTACGTGTAAGATGGTCACAGGTAGATTGCGTTCTTTTGAGTCTTTGGTCAGCCTTTCACTGAATACACGATTTACATGGGGGACAGGGCAGGTAGAGGAATAGTCATTTATGCCTCAGTCCGACTCATGAATCTGCTGTTTTTTGTTTGTTTTTTGTTTTGTTTTTGAGACAGTCTCGCTCTGTCGCCCAGGCTGGAGTGCAATGGCGTGATCTCAACTCACTGCAACCTCCACCTCCTGGGTTCATGCAATTCTCTTGCCTCAGCCTCCCGAGTAGCTGGGATTGCAGGCGCCCGCCACCACGCCCAGCTAATTTTTGTATTTTTAGTAGAGACAGGGTTTCACCATGTTGGTCAGGCTGGTCTCAAATTCCTGACCTCAGGTGATTCACCCGCCTCAGCCTCCCAAAATGCTGGGACTACAGGCGTGACCAGTGGCCAAATCTGCATTTTTACGTAAACTTTAGGGCAGAGAGAGCAACCGGATATGTATTTTTGTCTCAGGTGAGCTGAGGGATGACTTTCTGTCCTGCACCTGTGAAGATCACCTATCAATTTACATTGCCAGGGTGAAATTCAACAAAACTGTTTTTGGGTAAAGATCTTGAGGGCCACAAGGAATTTCCTGGCCTGGCCAGGGTGGTGGGAGTAGAGTCCCCCACTCCTTTCCTCCTACTGAGAAACTCTTTATATTACTCTTCCTTCACCTTTGACCTTGGAAATCCATAGCACCACTTAAAGAGCTCCCTTTTCTTCTGGGGCATAAAGGAAAGGGGCCTATCTGCAAAGGAGGGAGATGGGACTCCTGCATAAACTTGCTGAATTGCCTCTTAAGCAACAAAGGAAAAGAACAAATAGCTAACATTTATTGAGCCTGTCCATATCCTTTTCTGAGGAATGTATAGGAGTTGGCTGAATTTTTCACTACTGCCCTATGAGGTATATTCGTGTTTATCTCTGTTTGACACAGGAGGGAATTGAAGAAAAGTGCATCTGGCTGGGCACAGTGGCTCACGCCTATAATCCCAGCACGATGGGAGCCTGGCCAATATGGTGAAACCCCATCTCTACTAAAAATACGAAAATTAGCCGGGCGTAGTGGCGTGGGCCTGTAGTTCCAGCTGCTTGGAGGCTGAGGCACAAGAATCACTTGAACCCAGGAGGCAGAGGTTGTGGTGAGCCAAGATTGTGCCACTGCACTCCAACCTGGGCAACAGAGCAAGACTCCGTCTCAAAAAAAAAGAAAAGAAAAGGGCATTGAAGTGGAGGGCGTGGGAACTGGGTTCTGCAGGCTGGCTGGGAGCCAGTCCTTCTCCCCTCAGGCAGTGTGCAGTGCACAGTGGGCATCTGCAGGAACACAGATGGAATGTGTACATCCCCTGCCACTGCCTGAAAAGAGAAGCATGGGCCAGAGTGACTTGTTTCTTTTTCCTTTTTTTTTTTCTTTTTCTTTCTTTCTTTTTTTTTTCTTTTGAGACGGGGTCTTATTTTGTCACTCAGGCTGGAGTGCAGCGATGTGATCTTGGCTCTTCAGCCTTGACCTCCCTGAGCTCCCCCTCAGCCTCCCAAATAGCTGTAACTACAGGTGCATGCTACCACACCTGGCTAATTTTTGTATTTTTTTAATAGAGGTGGAGTTTCACCACGTGCCCAGGCTGGTCTCAAACTCCTGGCCTCACGTGATCCTCCCACCTCGGTCTCCCAAAGTGCAGACCACCATGCCTGGCCTGAAGCAGAAACTTGATAATTCCAGAATGGAAACTTGATATTACTGCAATAAGCAAGGTGGATATATTAAAACAATTAAAATTTAAAAAGTTGTTAACCTCTGTTAGGCTCTGGACCTAAGGCCTGTTCCTCCCTTTGTCCCGAAGGGATGGTGGCAAATGTTAGGTTCACTTGTACCCTGTAAAGACCTTGTTAAGATCATCTATAGCAGGGGTCCCCAACTCCTGGGTCATGGACCCATACTGGTCCAGTGGTCCCTGGCCTGTTGGGACCTGGGCCACAAAGCAAGAGGTAAGCGTAGAGTGAGTGAGCAAAGCTTCACGTGTATTTACAGCAGCTCCCCATCACTTGCATTGTGCCTGAGTGCCACCTCCTGTCAGATCAGCAGCATTAAATTTCCATAGGAGTATGAACCCTGCTGTGAACTGCGCATGGGAGGGATCTAGGTTGCATGCTCCTTATGAAAATCTAATGCCTGATGATCTGTCACTGTCTCCCATCACCCCCAGATGGGACTGTCTAGTTGCCAGAAAACAAGCTCAGGGCTCCCACTGATCCTACATTACAGTGAGTTGTATAATTATTATATTACAATGTAATAATAATAGAAATAAAGTGCACAATAAGTGTAATGAGCTTGAACCATTCCGAAACCATCCCCACCCCAGCCCCACCATATCCATGGAAAAATTGTCTTCCGCAAAACTGGTCCCTTAGGCTAAAAAGGTTGGGACTGCTGAGCTACAGGGTTGAAACAGAATTGCAAAGGGATTTGGTGTTTTTACCAAGAGTTTTATCTTACTTAACTCTATGTCCTGTCCCCAACTGTCAGAGGGGATGGTACTGCCTGAGGTTAATGGGTCATCTAAGTGTTTATACCTACCCTGGTTTCCAGGGTGTGCCTATACTGGGTTTTACTTGTTTGTTTATTTATTTTTTGAGACGGAGCCTCGCTCATGTTGCCCAGGCTGGAGTGCAGTGGCATGATCTTGGCTCACTGAAACCTCCATCTCCCGAGTTCAAGCCATTCTCCTGCCTCAGCCTCCTGAGTAGCTGGGATTACAGGCACCCCACTAATTTTTGTGTATTTAGTAGAGATGGGGTTTTGCCATGTTGGCCAGGCTGGTCTTGAACTCCTGACCTCAGGTGATCTGCATGCCTTGCCCTCCCAAAGTGCTGGGATTATAGGCGTGAGCCACCACTCCCAGCCTTACTTGCTTATTTTTATTTTATAAGGTGGGTTTGTGTGTATACACACACAAACACACACACACACACACACACACATTTTTTAAGAGATGTGGTCTCACTATGTTGCCCCAGGCTGGTCTCAAACTCCTGTGCTCAAGTGATCCCCCCCACCTTAGCCTCCCAAGTTGCTGAGATTACAGGCACAAGTCGTTGCTCAGTTCTTTTTGTTTTTAAACAGACTAGCACTTTAAGAAATTGAGCTATAATTTACATACCATAATAGCCACTCATTTGATTTAGTAATTTTTTTTTTCTTCTGGAGACAGGGTCTCTCCCTCTGTCACCCAGACTAGAGTGCAGTGGCCCAATCATAGGTCACTGCAGCCTTGAACTCCTGGGCTCAAATGATCCTCCTGCTTCAGCCTCCCAAGTAACTTCAACCATAGGCAAATGCTACTACACCCAACTGAATTTTTAATTTTTATTTTTGTAGACACAGGGCCCCCCTATGTTGTCCTTGCTGGTCTCAAACTCCAGGCTTCAAGCAGTCCTCCCACCTTGGCCTCCTAAAGCACTGGGATCACAGGTGTGAGCCACCATGCCTGGCCTGATATAGTGATTTTACGTTTTCACAGAGTGGTACAACCATCATCACTATCTAATTCAAGAACGTTTTCATCACCCAAAAGGAAACTCTATACCCTTTAGAAGTTATTCCCCATTCCCTCTCCTCCAGTCCCTGGCAACACCCAATCTGCTTTCTGTGTCTGTGTATTTGTCTATTCTGGACATTTCATATCATTGGAATCGTGCAATATGAGGCCTTTTGTGTCTGGCTTCTTTGACAAGACATCATGTTTTTGAGGTCCATCCCCATTTTAACATGCTTCAGCACCTCATTCCTTTTTCTGGCTGAGTAATATTCCATCGTGCACACGGACCATTTTGTTTATCCATTCATCTGTTGGTAGACTCCCTCTCCTTTTCTTTGTTCTTGTGATTTATATGTTGAAAACTCTGGGTGTTTGTCCTCTAGCTGACGTTCTCTTCCCAAAATCCCAAAAAGTAGGGATTTTGCAGATCATATCCCCATGGTGTTGGTTAAGGTGTCAGAGCTGTGCTGTGCAATACCGTAGTCACTCATCACACATGGCTATTTACATTAACATAAATTAAAATGAAATAAAATTACACACTCAGTTCCTCAGTCGCACTGCCACACTTCAGCTGTGTGATAACCACAGAGGCCAATGGCATCTGTACTAGGCAGTGCAGATAGAGAACGTTTCATCATAGCAGAAAGTGCCCTGAATGCATGATCAGATTCAGGTTTGAGATTTTGGCACGGTGACTTCACAGGTGCATTTTGTTCTTATTCAGGAGGCAGGTGTTGCTGGTTTCTCTTTTGATGATGTGAGATCAAGCAGTAGATTCAGTTCTTGTCCACCCTTGTTAGGCTCCCTTATTAATTTTACACCTGATGGTTTTGGATCCTGTGAGATCATTATCTGTTTCTCTCCTGTCTCGGCTGATCAGCTGAAATTGGAAGTGAAACTTTTCCTCATCCTCTTTTTGTAACCCGGGACGCTTTTGTACAAGGGAGGCAGGTTAAGTGCTAGATTTTTTTTTTTTTTTTTTTTTTTGAGATGGAGTCTCACTCCGTCACCTGGGCTGGAGTGCAATGGCGTGATCTTGGCTCACTGCAAGCTCCGCCTCCCAGGTTCACGCCATTCTCCTGCCTCAGCCTTCCAAGTAGTTGGGACTACAGACGCCCGCCACCACACCTGGCTAATTTCTTTTTTCTTTTTGTATTTTTAGTAGAGATGGGGTTTCACTGTGTTAGCCAGGATGGTCTCGATCTTCTGACTTCATGATCTGCCTGCCTTGGCCTCCCAAAGTGCTGGGATTATAGGCGTGAGCCACCACGCCCAGTCAAGTGCTAGTTTCTTTTTTAAAAAAAATTGTTATCAATGATTGTAGAGACAGTGTCTCGCTACATTGGCCAGGCTGGTCTTGAACTCCTGGATTCAGGTGATCCTCCCATGTCAGCCAGCCTCCTGAGTAGTAGCTGGGAGTACAAGAGCATGCCACCACTCCCCACCAAGAGCTGGATTCTTGGTTGGCCAGTTTTCAGAAGCCTGAGCTGTATTTTAGTATTATCTAAAAAATAGTATTATCTAAAAAAAATCAAAAGCACAGATTTTGATTTTTTTTTTTTTTTAAGATGTAGTCTGGCTTTGTCAGCTACAAAGGCTTTGTCAGGCTGGAGAGCAGTGGTGTGATCTCGGCTCACTGCAACCTCCGCCTTCTGGGCTCAAGCAGTTCTTCTACCTCGGCCTCCCCAATTGCTGGGATTACAGACGTGAGCCACCACACCTGGCCCAGATTTTGATTTTCATATGTACTGAAATTTTTTTTTTTTTTTAAATGCTCACTTATCTGTAGCTATCAGGCACCCCTTAGGGTGTGGAAGCTTCCTTGCTTCCTGGTCTCACAGGATGCCCCAGGGTGACCTGCCCCATGACCTGCTGGGACCTGGAATCAGCCATTCCTCCAGAAGCCCTGGCTCCTTGTTTTCAAAGATTTTATATAGAGACAGGGCCTCCCTATGTTGCCCAGGCTGGTGTCGAACTCCTGGCCTCAAGCCATTTTCCCCCCTCAGCCTCCCAAAGTGCTGGGATTACAGGAGTGAGCCATCTAGCCCTGCCCTCAGCTCCTTTTCGTGGGAGATGGTAGAAACCATACATGGTGTTAGAGGTATTCAGTACTACTGTGCTGTCATTTCTTCTAGGCATTTTTAGTTCCTATGACTAGAAAATTAGATCTTTGTTTACTTAAGAGAAAACACATGATGGGTTTATATGGATATTTCCATTTCAAATATAAGTTCTGAGATTTTTTTCTCAACTTTGTCGAGGTATAATATGTACTTTTTTTTGAGACGGAGTCTTGCTCTGTTGCCCGGGCGGGAGTGCAGTGGTGCAATCTCGGCTCACTGCAACTTCTGCCTCCTGGGTTCAAACGATTCTCCTGCCTCAGCCTCCCAAGTGACTGGGATCACAGTTGCCCGCCGCCATGCCCAGTTAATTTTTATATTTTTAGTAGAGATGGGATTTCACCATGCTGGCCAGGCTGGTCTTAAACTCCTGATCTCAGGTGATCCACCTGCCTCAGCCTCCCAAAGTGCTGGGATTACAGGCATGCACCTGTGCACCCAGCGAGTATGTATTTAATATAGTGTATATCTTATACTATATATAGTACATAAATGATACAAATATATTGCATATGTTTATATTATACAACTTGACGATTTTATATGCATGCAGATAGTGAAATACTCACCTCAATCAACAGTTACCTTTTTCTTTTTTGTGGTGAGAACACTTAAGATCTACCCTCTTAGCAAATTTCAAGTACACAATACAATATTGTTAATTATAGGGAGTTCCGAGTTTTCACTTGATTTTATGATGTTAGAATCTTTTTTTTTTTTTCCTTTTTGAGTCAGGGGCTTGCTCTGTTGCCCAGGTTAGAGTGCAGTGGAGCAATCTTGGCCTCCCAGGCTCAAGCAATCCTCCTACCTCAGCCTCCTGAGTAGCTGGGACTATAAGCATGTGCCACCACACTCAACTAATTTTAATTTTAATTTTTATTTTGGTAGAGACAGAATTTTGCCGCATTGTCCAGGCTGGTCTTGAACTCCTGGGCTCAAGCAGTCCTCCTGCCTCAGCCTCCCAAAGTGTTGGGATTATAGGCATTGACCCACTGCACCCAGCCAGAATCTTTTTTCTTTTATGCTGATTCCTAGTAATATAATCATTATTATTTGCTACGTCCATAATAGTTTCAGAATAACATTATTAGTATCATTATATTAAAAAACCACCTTTCTTAGATAAAATATAGTAAACTCTGTGTTCTCTTCTGCATTTTCTTTTTTTGTTTTTTTTTTCCCGCAAGTTAGGGTCTCACTCTGTGGCCCAGGCTGGAGTGTAGTAGCATGATCATGACTCACTGCAGCCTTGACCTCCCAGGCTCAAGTGATCCTCCCACCTCAGCTTCTCAGAGTGCTGGGATTACAGGCTAAGTCACCATGCCCGGCCTCTTCTGTATTTGTAGAAGCCCTAGGGAAGTAGGGATATCACCCTTTCCTGTGATCTAGGTGGGAAGAATTTCTCCAGGGTGGTTGTAGGGCTCTGGTCCCTGGTAGATTCTTCCTAAGTGGCGTTTTCATGGTGGCCAGGCCCTGCCATTGCCTGCTCACCCTTGAGGTAGCTCTCTCTTTGCCCTAACTTCTCAGCTCAGGAGCATCTATCGGCTGCACGCCAACATCAACGCAGGCGAAGATGGTCTCCAAGCGCATTGCCCAGGAGACCTTTGATGCAGCCGTGCGCGAGAACATCGAGGAGTTTGCGATGGGGCCAGAGGAGGCGGTGAAAGAGGCTGTGGAGCAGTTTGAATCGCAAGGTAGGGCGGTGTGACCGTCACCTGCCATCCGAGGCTCTCAGATGCAAGAGTGATGGGAGGGCCCTGCTGCCCCTCCCCGCTGGGGGTGCCACATGCCTGGCACAGAAACCAGGTGCCCACTGGGCCCTGTCCCCTCCAGCCTCTGCCCGAGGCAGGCTAGTTATCCTGCTTCCACCTCTCACACACCCTTTCTGTCCCTATTTCCACCTCGCCCAGATATTTATGGGCTGGATCCTTCTCATGAGTCTCATTTGATCACTTCCTTGAAGAGGGTTTCCCTAACCCTGGCCTGGGAAACGGGGCCCCTGCCTCCCTGCCCTACTCTGCCCCACCTCGAGCTTACAGAGGCAGAAGCAGCAGCAGCCTGTGGAAACAGGTGGCATGTTCAGACCAGGCACAGAGGAGTGTGGTTATGAGGGGCTGTTTGCAATGGCGTGGGCGGCGTTAGGAGACCACCCCTAGCACAACTAACCCCCACAGAGACCCTGACTGCAGGGAGCAGGAGTCCTGGGCAGGGGCCACCTGGCAGGCGCTGGACCCTGGGGCGGAGGCAGGGGGCTGGGAATGAACACCCCAGGCTCCCCTCCTCCTGCCTGCATCTCAAGTTCACTTCCCCATTGAACAAACCCAGGGTCCAGCCTCAGAGGTCAGAGGTCAGCCTTGCAGGCACAGAGTGGGGTATAGACCCCTAGACAGGGGCCAGTGGGACAAGCAAAGGCGTCCAGCACTGTAGGGGCTCCCTGTGGGGGTGCCAGCAGGGGCAAGAATGCAGCCAGAGCCAGGACGGATGGGAGTCCCAAGGGAGAAGGCCGTGGGGTCCCTCCCTCCCCTGTCAAGCCCACCAGGCAGCATGTGGCACCTCACCGCACAGACGTGGCCTGTGATGACAGCCTTGTGTGACAACGGCCTCACTACCACTCTGCTCCCTTTGACTGGCCCATGGCCCAGTGGCAGAAATACCCAATACCCTCTACACCCCTGTGTTGATGTGGCATGGGCGCGAATAGGGAGGTGGGAGGCTTCTGGAGTGGGGTGGTCCCAGCAGAAGGGTCCTGTGGTGTGATTCCAGCAGGCCCACGGGAATGACAGCTGTCACTTGCTTTGTGACCCCTGTGTGCTTGCTTCCCCCGCCCCCAACAGGGGTTGATCTGAGCAACATTGTAAAGACGGCGCCTAAAGTCTCTGCAGACGGACCCCAGGAGCCCACACATGACATCCTGCAGGTAGGAACGGGCATCCCACACAGCAGGTCCTGCGTCACCTCTGTCTGGGGGCACCTCTTCCCTGTTTCCTGGATGGCAGAATGCAGGCTCTGAAGGTCATGCCCTTCCCAGCATGCATGGGCAAGCTCGAGTTTGCAGCCAGGTCTCCGAGTCCACGTCTGAGGGCGGCATGCCTTCCAATGCAGGGGACACCAAGCTCCTCGGGTGGCATGTATGCTGAAATCAGGTGGATGGCTTGATTGTCCCTGCTGCTAGAAGCCCAGAGTCAGGAACACCATAGAGGGGCCCCTCTGGCTTCCCAGAGACAGATGGACAGGACTCACAGGACAAGAGAGCGGGCTCACAGTAAGGCTGTCACTTACTGAGCACCGACTGTTTACCAGCACTTTCTAGCCAATCTGTTAGCACTGAAGCTCACCAGTGAGGTAGGTGGTGTCACTCCTGTCTTAGTGATGGGGAAACAGGCCAGGAACTGGCACTTAACCTCTCCAGAGACCCAAACGAGGAAGGTAAAAGAACTTCAATGCTTTCCTTAAGGTCACCCATTGAACTTTGTAATACAGCAGAAGGCTCTGGTGTTTGAGAACCGACCGTGGACCTGGTTCTGTGCAGGTACTTTTTTCCTGCCTTCTCAGTCATTGTCCAAACAACACCTGCAAGGCTGGGATTTCCCCATTATACAGATGGGGACATTGAGATCCAAAGAGAAGAAAAGTCATTGACCTGGGAGCAGGAGGTGCAATGATAGGAGAGGAAGTTGGAAGAGATGGCTCTGGGTGTAAACCCAGCTCACCTAAGGCATGACACTTACTTCTCCCTACCTCAGGGTCTTGCCCTCTCCTGCCTTGAGGAGGTCTTGTGAGAATTGCCTCGTTGTTGTTAGTTTGCTTTTTACCTTTCTTGCCTAATAAAGATGAATTTATTTTATT